ACCCTGTTTGCCCCAGTTTCCTCATCTGTCAAATGAACTGGAGAAGGAAATGCCAAACCACTCTAGTATCTTTGCCAAGAAAACTCCAAATGGGATCACAGAGAGTCAGACATGACTGAAAAAGTGAATCAACAACACCACCTGCTAATGTAGCATTCCACACTATACCATTCTATTGGTAAAAAGGATTTGTATTGGTTGGAACCAAGAGAGCTGAGTAGGAAAGGCTTCCTGATTATAAGAAAATCCAAATTATAAGAAAGAAAATCTTCTTTCATCACTTTCGTTGTCTTTTGTTCTTTTAGTCTGTATTTCTTTGATTATATCTTTCTTTTCTAGAGGATAGGTTTTCTGTGTTTTGACTTTATTTTTTCTATATTTCATTTTGACACAATAGACACTTCCCAACCAACACCCAAAAAATATCTCCCCACCCCACCCCCAGCCATAAAGCGTCATTCCTTGTAAAGTTCATCAAAACTCCTTAATAGCATAATTGCAACTATTGGTACATATCACTTCCACTTCCATAGTTTGCTCCCTGGTAACAGAAAGGAAGGATCTATGCCTTAATGCTGATGGTATGGCACCCAGCTTATGGTTGTATTTGACTTGAATGTTGTTGCCTTTTGTTGTTCAGCCATTTTTCAATCATGTCTGACTCTCCGTGACCCTCTTTGGGGTTTTCTTGGCAAAGATACTGGAGTGGTTTGCCATTTCTTTCTCCAGCCCATTTTATAGGTCGCAAAACTGTGGCAAACAGGGTTCAGTGACTTTCTCAGAGTCACACAGCTGGTAAGTGTCTGAGGCCAGATTTGAACTCAAGAAGCTGTGTCACCTTTTTAGCATTGTCTTTATTTACGTTGTTGAAACCATTGTCCTTCTGTCTTTTCTTCCTTCACTCTCTCACCTCATACGTATTTTCCTGCCCCTGAGTTCTTCACATTCATCATTCTTTACAATATAGTAATATTCTATTATATTTACATATCATAATTTACTCAACCATTCTTCAATCATCAGGCATGTATTTTGTTTCCAACTCTTTGTGATAATACTTTTGTACGTAAGTTTTTTTTTCTTCAAGCCTCTGAGAAAAGGCAGGGTGACATGTGGCTCGAGTACCAGAGCCGTTCTTGGCACCACGTTGACGGCAAGGCTGCTGGCCATGCTCAGGAGAGTGAGTGAGTTTTTGGCAGAATGCACACAGCTGAGTGCTGCTGAGAAAGATGGAGACAAGTAAAGGAGCTTCCCCTAGAGTTCAGTGCATTTAGCCGAGGAGCAGGAAGAGTAGGTGGTTTTGTTTAAAATATTCCCATTACAGTCGGTTAACCTTCATGTTACCTAAATGAAAATTGTATAAACCTGAAATTTTCGTTGATCAGGTTGCTTAGGAACAAGCGTAGGGTTTTCATAAGACAATGCAATAGACTGTCACTGATAGGGCTATTAGGAAAGGAGCTGGTTTGCTATATTATTCTCCATTTCAGGGTCTGAGTTGAGTAATTATCTGTTTGCATGTACAGAGCACGCCCACCTTTCCTAGCTTGTTAAGAGTGGCAGGGTTCATGTAAATGATGTTCCCTGTGGAAAATAAACAGTGGGGCCTCTACCCCAGGACCCAGGAGAAGAGATGTGTTTCATTTTCTTTAGGAACTGTGGGTCCACAAGCAAGCCACAATGAGAGAGGAATAATGAGGGAGCTATCTTGAGTATACCAAAACGTACAACTCCTCTCTCTTCTAGGCTCGTAGCCTTTAGGGAGACAGCAGCCAGAAATACCCAACATAATGGCTCATTTAACTAGCTTCATTGGGGAATTGAAATCTACCCTTCCCAACCCCACCGCCACTGAATGCCAAGGCTTTTCAACTCTAACCATTTGGAATGAAAATCTTTCTAAATGTTTTAACACAGTTTTGAAAAACATAGATCTCCGATCAATGACCAATTAATCTCTGATCAGTGACCAATCATGACTTCAGGGGATTGATAGGGAAACTTGCTTCACTTGCTTCTGCCTCTGGGCAGAGAGATGGTAATCTATAAGTACAGAGGGAGGCGCAGATATGTTACGTAGTCAGAAAAGCTGATGATTAGATAGGTAGCACAGTGGATAGAGTGCCAGGCCTGCAGTCAGGGAGACCTGAATTCAAATCCAGTGTCAGACATTTTGTAGCTGTCCAACCCTAGGCAAGTCACTTATCCCTATTTGCCTCAGTTTCCTCAACTGGAAAATGAGCCAGAGAAGGAAATGGCAAACCATTATATTATCTTTGCTAAGACAACCCCAAATGGGGTCATGAAGAGTTGGACACGACTGAAATGAATGAACAAAAACAAATGATTTCTTTGTTATAAGGTAGAGATTTATTTGGAGGTGAAGGGGAGTGTTGGGAGGAGATGGCAATAAAAAATAACACTTAAAAAAATAAGCTGCAAAAGTGGGATGAACGTCCTAGGTCTTGGTGGGATGTACCTGATAAGAAGTTATTTTTAAATATCTATTAGGTGTGTCATAGAGCTTCAGTTAGGAGTTAAACTAAATGGCCTCTGAACATGGTGTAGTGGTTAGGTGCTGGGCGTGGAGTCAAGAAGACGTGTTCAAATCCTATTTCTGATGCCAGTGGTGGTATGACTCTGAGTAAGTGAAATCAACAAGTATTTATTAAGCCCTTGCTTTGTGTCTGGCTCTATGCTAAGTGCTGAGACTAAAAATATCAGCAGAAAGAGAGTTCTTGCCTTCAAAGAGCTTACGTTCTAACAGAGGAATACTATTATGTTGTTGTCCAGTCATTTCAGTTATGTCCTACTCTTTGTGACCCCCTTTGGGATTTTCTTAGCAGAGATACTAGAGTGATTTGCTTTTTCCTTCTTCACCACGTTTTATGGATGAGGGTACAGGCAAACAGGGTTAAGTGACTTGCCCAGGGTCACACAGCTAGTAAGTGTCTGAACTGGATTCGAACTCAGGTCTTCTTGACTCCAGGTCTGGTGCTCTATCCACTGTGCCACCTAGCTGCCCCAGGAATACTATACGTAAAAGGGATCTTTAAAACGGGAAGGAGTAATCTGGGAACAGGGAGGTTGGGGGCAGGGTGTAGAATGAATTTACAGGGCAAAAAAAAAAATCTCTGTGACATACATGAGAAAGTCCTGTGGGTCAAGAGTACTGTCGAAGAGAAAAGTCACTTAACCTCTGAGATTTTTGCTTCCTATCTGTAAAACGAGGGGATTGGACTGGAAGATTGTCTCTACAGCCCCTCCCAGCACTAAATCTATGATCCTGTGAACATACATTACATATATTCCTGTCTTCATGTCTATTAAATATAATTTAACCTTTTATTGATGATTCAGGGTCATCATCCTGACCATAAATTGTGCTGCCCTGCTTTCCTGGACTATTAGATGTCCCTCTAAGCTAAATGTTCCCAGACTATTACAAACAGTTTTTGCTTTATGTAAATTTGTGCTACACAAATTTGACTTTGCAGAAAGAATTCTGAAAGAAATCCACATTTCAAAATACACCGATGTTAACTTTACTGCGTAGTGCTGTGTTCTCTCTCCACTCCTGCTCCTTGACTCTATGCTCTGTGGCCTCTCACACCCACCAAAAAAATCCCTCCAATACCCAACTTTTTTAAAAGCCCTAAAACAAAAACCCTCCAAGTGAAAGCGGAACAGACGGGCAGAGAAACCTCTGTAGCTGTTGGTTTGAGACCTGTAGCAGCGACAGAGGAGACCTTTGACCCTCCCCCCAACCACCACTGCGTTTTGCCTATCATCTCCTGAGTGTCTGTGTCTGGCCGCCACCTATCTACTCTTCTGCATGGTCTTCCTCTCAGTTCTAGCCAGGCCCCCAGGGCCTGGACCTCCAACTTGTTCCTCCTCCTGTTCTTGCTTATCTGCCCCTGACCCCCACATGCCCTTAAATCACATGCCAGCCCCCTCCCCTTACAGGTCAGTAGCCCCCTTCCTGTCTCTCTCCCTCCCTCCTTCCCTTTCCCCTGTCACGGGCAAATTCACATTATGTAAAAATTGCTTTATATAGAGGTCTGCAGAACAGGTCCACTTAAATAAAGCAGGAACTGTCTCTATACTCAATAGTCCTTTCCCCACCCCTTTCTTTAATTTTTCTGTTTCTTTCCCTGTACCTAGCCCTTTCAGCCCCATCCTTTTGATTGACTGCTACCTAGCTGCTCTGGGCTAGGAAACCAGAATAATGAATTTTGTTAGCATTGTGTGGCAAGTAAGACTTAGGTGGGCTCTGAGCTGGTTACTGGGGCCCTCTCCTGTGAGCCAAGTGCTGACCCTTGTAACATTCCTTTGGGATGCTCATAGGGCTTTTTTTGGGGGGGGGTGTTTTTTTCTCCTCTGTTCCAGTTAGGTAAGATTTTCATATAAATAATTTCTGAATAAATAGATTGATAGGATTTTCAGGAACTTCCAAAGGTAGAAAAAATGAGCAGAAAGAAGTTGGGGGTCACTTTGGCGTAACCCAATATATAACAATGAAAAAGAGTCAGCAAGGGGGGAGAGGGATTCGAAGTAAATGGAGAAGATGCAGTGAAAAAGAACACAGTTGATGCTTTAACTTTATAAAGAATGTTTGGAAGTAGGTTTCAAGGACAGCATTTCTTCATTAGAACTTCAAACAGCCATCTTCGATGTGCTCTTCCTATGATTCTTCCCAAACCAGGGATTCTTTTAGTCAGTTTTCAGCCGAGGCAACATTCCTGAGCGTGCATATGTCTTGCTAGCTTTCTCTGCCCCCTGATTTCATCTTCGTAGGGTCTTCCAAAGTAAGATTTACACAAGGGGTATGTTTTCTTAAATATTTATTCTGCAGGCCATTTACTCTCCTTAACTCTTTTTACTTGGAGTATAACGAGCTCAGCTAAAAATAACCTTTCTCTTACCCATGTGGGTCTGCATTTGACATTTCCCTGGAATTAATTAGCATCTCATTTGTATATATTTTTTCCCCTCAATAGGTAGAATGTAAGAAAGCACAGCCTAAGGAAGTGATGTTCCCACCCGGGACAAGAGGACGGGCCAGGGGCCTCCCTTACACAATGGATGCTTTCATGCTAGGCATGGGAATGCTAGGTAAGTCCCAGGGATGATACTAGAGCCCATTAGGAATGGGATGGGGTCACCTTGCTTGTTTGTGTCACCCATGCTGGAAGTTGTCCCCCATGTCTCTGGCTTAACTTTTCTGGGTTACAACTCCACTCTCTAAAAGCAGGAAGGGAAGGTGTGGGGGAGTGGGGAGGGACAGTGGGAAGGATCCTGTCTATTTAAATGATTAACATTTTTCTTGGGATATCAGAATTTGCATTTAAATGGATGTTTTAAATAGCCTGTTTTTACTCTTTATTCACACCACAAAAAAAAAAAATAGAATGATGAAAGACAAAGTATGTTTGTTCTGACTAAAAGCGATCTCTCCTGGCTTTTAGAGAAATTGAGACACGTATAATGCCCCTTCTCTTAAAGGTATCTCTGACAGGTCCACATAGATAATTGAAAATCTTGCTGTTTAAATGGCAGGCAAGACGGAGAAAGCAGTGAAGATGCATAATTGTGTAGGTCGCAACAATAATTAGAAATTTCAAGGCAAGAGAACAGTATTTTAGCTCCGGTTATTGTGTGTCCAGAAAATACTAATTAAAATGGGATAAATGGTACTTAATGGTAAAATTCCATTCAGGCACAAGATCTGTCTAGTTTTAATGGGTTTTCATTTGGTTTGGCTAAGAGTCCCTTCTCCTACAGTCTGATAAGCTCTTTATGTATTGGAAATGGATTGCTGTTTAAAGTACTGCTTTTAAGTTTTAAAAACTTTTTGACATTAACCAACTAGTTTCTAGAGGATCCTCCTTGAAAGAGACTGTATGATTTATAATGGAAGGAAGTCTGGGCTTAGGTTCAGAAAACCAAAGGTTCAAGTCCTGACCCTGATACTTACTCGATTTGTGACCTTAGGCAAAGTCACTTAAGCTCCCTCTCTTAGCCTCGGTTTCCTCATGAGTAAAATGGGATAAAAATCTTTGCACTGCCTCTTTGGAATCATAGGTCAGAGCTGGAAGGGTGGACCCTAGAGGTCCTTTAGTGCAGCCCCCACATTTTAGGCATAAGTGCCTTACCCAAGGTCACAAAGGTAGCTAGTGGCACAAACTAGGATTCGAACCCAGATCCTCGGACTCAAACTCTATGAGTTTTCCATTACATCATGTTTTTTCTCATGATTGTTTTTTAGAAAAATGCTTTGTAATCTTTAAAGTGCTGTAGGAATATGAGTTGTTATTAGTATTATTATACCCTTAGAACCAACTACTTCTCTGGAGGAAAAGAAAGGGCTCTTAAGAAGAGTGAATAACTCTGCTATGTTCACCTTAATGCATATGGCTTGTCAGCTAAAGATGGTGGCTAAGGGCCCCAGGACGTAGAATAGTGGGAAGACTTTCACATCCAGGGCCCAAGATTGTTTACCAACTCTACCATGTGAGCTTTGATAGACACCTCTCTGGGTCCCAGCTTTTTACCTTCTGTGGAATAAATAAACAAATGCTTAATAGAGAAGCAAAATGATGCAAGAGACTTTTGGTCAGTATGTTTCCCAGTGCAGAGGAGCACACCCATATTCTGTATTCAGCCTGTAGAAACCAGGAACCAGAAATGCTTTCCTTCATAGCCATTAATCCTTATAGTTCTGTTTCCCTGGCTCCTCTTCTATTTGACCACCCTCTAAACCTCCTGGGTACTCTCTCCTGTCTGGGTTTTCTCCTACCTGTCTGATTATTCCCTACCATTCTCATTTGCTAATTCATTATCTATGTTCTGTCCCTAACTTGTGAGCACACCCCAAAGCTCTGTTCTGGGCCCTCTTTTCTTTTCTCTCCACCACAACCCCCTCCCTCCCTCTCTCTCTTTCTCCCTCTTCCTCTACCCCCCTCCTCCCTCCATCACTTTTTCCTCCCTTCTTTTTTCCCTCTCTCCAGAGACCTTATCAGCTCCTATGGGTTTAATTATCATCTTTATGCAAATGACTCAAGATCTTTATATATGAGTATAGTATCTCTCCTGAGTTCCAATCTCACATCAACAACTGCTTATTAGATAACATTTGATTTAGATGTAAAGAGAATAAGCATTTATGTAGCACCTCCTATGTGCTAGGCATTGTGCTAAGTGCTTTACAAATATTACGGCATTTGATCCTCACAAACACTCTGTGAAATAAGTGCTATTCTTACCCCCATTTCGCAGATGAAGAAACTGAGGTAAACAAAGGTAAAGTGATTTGCCCAGAGTCACACAGCTAGTTAAGTGTCTGGAGCCAGATTTGAACTCAGGTCTTCCTGACTCTGGGCCCAGCACTCTATTCAGTGCTCCACCTAACTACCCCAGACATATATTAAGCACCTACTGTATGCCAAGCACTGGGGGTGCAAAAAGAGGCAAAAGACAGTCCCTGCCCTCAAGGAGTTTATGATCTAATGCATGTCAAAAACATACCTTATTGTGTTTCCTTAAGAAACCCATCCCTTTTCCTAATTTCCTATTTCTGCCTAAGGCACAACTATTCTTCCACATGGCTTCACCACCTTGGGAGTCAGCCTTGTTTTTTTTCTCTCTCTCTCTCACTCCCCATATCCAGTTACAGATTCTATCTGGACAATATTTCTCCCCACCCACTCAGCTGCCACCATAGTTTCAGCTTCTCACCACCTCTCCGCTGGACTCCTGGAGTAGCCTCCTAACTGGTCTCCCTGTATTTACTCTCGCCCCTCTCTGATTCTTCCTCTACACAGTTACCAAGGTGACATTCCTACAGCAAAGGTCCAGCTGCGCCACTCCCCTGCTCAGAGAGCTCCTGCAGCTGCCCCTTACCTTAACCGTCAAATACAGGCTCCTCTCTTAAGCCCTTCACAACCTAGACTCAACCTACCTCTCCCATCTCTTTATACATTACTTCCACATTCTGTGGGCCAGCTAAACTGGCTGCTTTCCTGTTCTTTATCCATGACACACCCTCTCCTATCTCCTTGCCTTTGAACAGACTGTCCTCTGTGCCTGGCCTTCCCTCCTTCCTCACCTCCACCACCTGGAATCAGTATCTCCTTCAAAGCTCAGCTCAAATGCTACTTCCTAATGTAGCCTTTCCCAATCCTCACAGCTGTTGGTTTCTTCCCCTCCTGAAATTACCTTGTATTGTAAAAATTACTTCATATGTATTTTGTATTTGTGTGTGTGTGTATGTGTGTGTGTGTGTGTGTGTGTGTGTGTGTGTGTGTGTGTGTGTGTGTGTGGTTTCCCATGACAGAATGAATATATGCCTTTAGAAGAGAGTGATTATTTGTTTGGTTTTCATTTTGATGTCTCTGTACCCTAGTACAGTGCCTGGCACATAGTAGATGCTAAATAGATGCTTGTTGATTGACTGATTAAGAGTAAGAAACAGTCACAATGTCCAGGGAGTCAAAAGAAGGGGAATGAGACACAAATTGGGAAAGAAAAATGACCTCTGGGTACGTGGGAATGTGGCTTGAAGCCTGGAAACAGAACCCTAAGAGCAGGTAAGGGTGGACAAAAGCTGAGGGTGTTTCTGGGAGAGAAACAGAGCATTACAAATGGTGCTGAACAGGACAGGTAGACAGAACACCTGGGAAGAACTGCTCCTGAGAGCAACCCTCCCCACAGCCACGGTTTCACTGGGTCTGCAGGAAACACTGCTAGGTACTCTAGAATGATTAGAGCTTATCCATTTGGTCCACCCTTGCTCCCCTCCCCATCCTTCCCCCTCCCCCCTTCAGCTCTCTGAGCATGATCCCGTTGGCTTGCCTTGAGTGAGGGATGGAGCTATGATGAATACCAGATGCTTAATTATCTGCTCTAGCTATTTTCCCATTCTTTCAAGTCTCGAGTTACTACTTCCTAGAGTCACATTAAAGAATTAACTGTTGGTAAAAAAAAATATTGTAGCAGTTAAAAGTCTATTACCCCTTGAGTTATGGCCAGCCCTTGGCCTGCTCCTCTGCTTTTTAAAGTTTGTACCTATTGACTACTCAAGCTCTGGCTGAGGCTGAGACCTGGCATACCTCTCAGCCCTCTACCTGGAGCCCAGGCCCTGGCTTGGCCTGGTACAGTGAGACAGTTCAGATATTCATCTACCAAGAGTTCTCTCCCTGCCTGCCCTCACAAAAAATCAGCACAGGGATTCTGTGGAAACCTTTATCTGGGCCCTCGGGAAAATCTGTTTCCCTCCAGAGGTATGTATGGAAGGGGAAGTCTGCATCAATAATAGTTAGCATTTGTATGGTACGGTACTTTACATATGTTATCTCATTCACCCTTCTAGGTAAGTCTTGTTATTGTCCCCATTTTATAGATGAGGAAACTGAGACAGAGAGAGGTTAAGTGGCTTGGACTGAGACACACACATAGCTTGGAAGTGTTCGAGAATTAAACCACTATAGAGAAGAAAAATCAGAATCCACTTCAGGTTGTTCTTTGGTCACTCTCTACCTTCACCATCCTGTCTTTGGCCATTGGACCTTTTGGAAGACGAGGGGGATACTTGTTTATAAGTAAAATCTATCGTTTATTCCAATCCCTTTTTTTCCTGGAACACTGGGGAGGATTTTCCTTCTCCCTTTGAAGTGATGGCATTGCAGCTTCTTCCAAATGAAGCAGAAATAGGAAAGATTCATCAGACTGGGCCTGTTCCCTTGGGAATGTCTACTGTCTCTAATTCCCATCAGTCATAGCACACCTCGGATGTCACACTGTAATTCTGTTACAGTCCAAGCAAGGCTGTTGGCCAAAATGTAAGGCGGCAGCAGCAGCAGCAGCAGCATTTGCAATTTGACAAAAATCTTACTTCAGGGCTTGGAAAAACAATGAAATTAATCTTTGAAAAAACAGCTTCCATTAAGTAACTGTGAGCGTGTTAGAGAAAGGTGAATTGAACATTTTGTATGGGGAGATGAGATTATTTTATTAGCTTTGTTTAAAAAAAAAATTTAAAGCAGTGATGATCCTATCACAAATTGGCCAGCCAGTGCAGAGTAACCTAATTCTTGATGGCAAAGAGAAAGGGTCCC